TCTAGGACCATGAACAGATCAAGTGCTTAGAACAGGTCAGTGGAAATGCGTGGAGACAAGCGGACCTAGGTTCAAATGTGTATGACCTTGAACTGGTAGTTCATCTCTCATAGTCCCAGGCTCATGCGTCAAAAGCAGAATAATGGTGCTTGTCTCAGAAGGCTGCTGCAGGGATTAAATGGAATCAGAAGCGTACAACGGTAACCCTTATTAACAACCTTGCTTGTGAATCAAAACTGAGATGAGTGAAACAGTCTGTGCCCTCAAAGACTTAACAGTTGTCACAAACAGGATTCACCTCTTTTGAGCCATCTCCAGTTGACCGGCAGGGGCTGCCCTGGAGTGATGATTTTAAAAATCAGATCTACTCCTAATGAAAAAGAAATTGCTTATTAATGCCTGTCAAGGGACAGGAGGTGGGGCGGGGGATGTGGCAGCTGGTGTGCAGTGCATATGCTGACACTGATCTGATGAGAGACAAAGACAAACAGGCAAAGAACTTTGATACAAGGCAAACAACTTGATTGGGGAAGGCAGAATCAGGAGCCATTCACCAAGCCTGTGGCCTTCAAGCCAAGCCTTGAAGGGCGTGTGGACAGGAAGGTCATTCTAAGCAGAGGGAGCACTCAGTGCCTGGGATGCAATGTTTTTTGCTGCTAAGAATAGCCTGTCCAATCAAAGCTGGCTTAAACAATAAGAAACATTTATTATCTCTTAAGACAAAAAAAAAAGTCCAATGGTGAGTGATTTTAGGGCTGGTTAATTGAGCAGCTCAGAAATGATATCAAGTTCCTTACATTTTCTGCTTTGCTGGTATTATAGGCTGAATTGTGTACCCCCAAAATGTTGAAGCCCTAACACCCAGTACCTCAGAATGTGGCTGTTTTGGGAGATAAGGCCTTTGAAGAGGTGATTAAATTAAAATGAGGCCATAGCGTGGGTTCTAATCTAATCTGATTGGTGTTCTTCTAAGAAGAGAAAATTGGATGCACAGACACCAGGGGCAGGCACGCACAGAGGAGAGACCATGTGAGGACACAGTGAGAGAGAATGCCACCATTTGCAAGCCAAGCACGGAACTGCGTAAGGAACCAATTCTGCTGACACCTTGAAGTTGGACTTCTAGCCTTCAGGATTGTGAGAAAATAAATTTCTGTTAAGTCACCCAGTCTGTAGTATTTTGTTCTGGGAGCCCCAGCCAACTAAATACAGCTGGCAAAAGGGCTGTGGCGGTTGTAGAAGCAACCAAGAAAGACATGAAGCCATTCATCATTATCCTGCTTTTGATGCTATCAACCTTTGATGAGGCCAGGGTTTCCCCTTCTTAGGTGTCGTTTTGTTGAGAAGGAAAACCTTCCCCAGAGATTCTTCAAAAGACTTCCCTTAGGAATCTAGGGGCCAGATATATTAGCCAAGATATATTTCAGCTGTAACAAAGGCCCAAATAACAGTGACTTAAATTTAAACAGAAGTTGATCTTTTCCCTCACATAAGAGGTCCCGGGCAGGTATGGCCACTCCATGTGTCCAGGACCTAGGGGCTTCCTGTCTTACTGCTCCACCATGCTAGGGTTTGCTCTCAACTTCAAGATGGCTCTCCACACAGCTAAAGTCCAGCCCTAGAAAGGGTAAACTGAGCCAGGGGAGAGCACAGCTCCTCCATCTAAAGGGATGACCCGGCAGCAGCACAAAGTTCTACTGTTCATATCCCATTGGCCAGAATTTGTTTCCATGGCAATGCCTAATTGCAAAGGAGGCTGGGAAGTACAGTCTTTTATTCTGAGTTGTCATGTGCCCAGCTAAAAATTCCTTTATAGAAAAAAGGTGAGCATGGATACTGGGGGAATTGGGTCACATGTTACTGCCCCCACCAATCCTCAGGGGAATTATCTTGGACCAATGGTTCTCAAACTTGGGTGTGGATCAGAATCACCTGAAAGGTGATTATAAAAACATGCTGCTCCCCACCTCAACACTGGCTGATTCAGTAGGTCTGTGGTGGGGTCTGAGAATCAAAAGTTCTAAAAAATTTCCTGGTGATGCTGATCTGGATACCACAGCTGGAGAACTACAGTCTTGGGCCAGCCACAACTTGCCTCCAGGTAAGAGCCACATTCCCTGAGCACTTGGGATGGGGGCTCCTAGGAAATAGGACTCTACCTGCATGGAAGAATGGTGAGAAAGGCCTTTGGCTGGCAACCAGGAGAGGCTCACAGAAACAGGAAGATGGTGGTTTGGAGAAGCTTTGAGGTGAGGCTATGATGGAGGTGAGGATCAAGAGGAATTGGGGTTCAGGTTGTGAAAAGTCAGCATCAGGCAAAGGGTTTGATCTTGCCAACTAAGGATGGTTGCTAGTCATCTGGCTCTACAAGGGTTAAGTCATTAGCCACTTCAGCTGCTGACCTTTGACACACCCTGAAAGGAGCCCAGGGCAGAGATCAGGAATGAGGCACTCTGCACTCCGGGAAACTGGCCGAATAGGCCTTCTGATAGATATTTTCAGGAGAGATTTTTAATGAACCTAGATTCTTGTATCTTCCCATACTTGAAAAGCACTAATACCATTAATTAAGATACCTGTTCCTGAAGGCTAGCAGCAACCTTCTGTGAGATGTATACTTGGTTGCATATACCTCCTTCACCAAAATCTCATATATACTAACCTCTCACATTACCTCTTTGGAACAGTTTCTCAGCATTATCTAAGAGACTGTCTCCCGGGCTAGAGTCCTCAGCGAGACACTGAATAAACTTGTCTTTTTTATATTGTGCACCTTTTTATCAACAGTCTTTATCCTGAAGGCCCTGGAGAGCCATAGGAGATTCTAAAGCCAGGAACTGCCATGATCAGATTTGGGGGAGGATGCATTAAAGCAGTGGTCCTCAAAATGAGATTCT